CTCCTCCAGAGGCTGCAGCTCCTTCAGGGGCGGGTGCCCGGGTGCCGCTGGCCTGCTGCCTGCTGGGGTCCAGCGTTAGGCTGCAGGGTGGCTCCCCAGAGCCCTCTGCACAGTAACGGACCTCGTAGAGGAAGAAGTTCAGGTAGTCAGCGAGTGGTGGCTGCCAGGTGACCCAGAGCTGCCCTGCTGCCCCAGTCCAGGTGGCCGTGATGTTTGTTGGTGGAGCAATGAGACCTGCAAGGAAGATGCCAGAGTGTTGGCCCTCCTGAGCAGCCCCCATGCATGCATGGCCCTGCTGCGTTGTGCTGAGGAGCTGGAGGAAACCTGCCCTCGCCCTAGGGCTGCCTCCCTGCCAGGACCTGCATGGTGTTCCCAGCCCCTGCAGGGACTGCTGCAGGTGGCACCATGTAGGGCTGCTCCAAGCCTGTCTGTGACAGGGACACATGGTGGGCAGGGGACAGGAAAGAGTCCAAGGAGCATCCTGGAGCTTTGGCTGGGGCCAGCTGCTGCCTTATGGGCACTGCGCCGCGGCAGGGACTCACCCACTGCATCCACACTGAGCTCCCGTGAGTACTTGGTCTGGTTGCTGGTGGTGTTCACAACGAGGATGGAGAGCTGGCTGAAGAGCCGCACGTCCTGGCTGGGGAACGCGCACACGTGCCGCGTCCTGCTGGCCCCATGGCTCTGCGTGGAAACTGCACACACCTTGGGCTTCTCCCTGGAAAATGGGGAGCCAGCGATCCTCCAGCACATCCTGTGCTGTGGCCAGGCTGGAGGAGAGGGGTCCTGGCAGTCAGAGGTGCCACCTTTTGCTTCCCTGCACCTCAATCCATCGCAGAGCGCCTTTTGGGTGAGACAGAGGCAAGACCAGGGGCACCAGCAGTCCCAGCCCTGCCGTGGACATACACTAAATACCCTGTAGTTTGCAGCAGCTGTGCAGCCTCTCCTTGTGCCTGGCCATGGAGAACCCAGCACACTGTGTGCCACGGGAGCTGAGTGTTGCGGTGTGTGCCAGCCTGGGTCAAGGGAAGGCTGAGCGGTATTGGCACCATGCCCTACCTGTTGTACCAGTAGTAGAAGCGGCACTTCCCACTGTTGGCCTCTTCCTCCTCCTCTTCGTCCCAGAAGCATGTGAGGTCCTCAAAGGAGCGGGAGAAGCAGAGGATGTCCTCAGGCACCCCCTCCAGGAGCGCAGCGTCTGGGAGGAGCGTGGGCATGGAGGAGCACCTCAGCACAACCTCATCCTCCACGTGCTCCCCTCCGTCCCCCATGCCAGCTCATGTCCATGATGGGCAGTGGGTGCAAATGTCTCCCCTGCTGTGTGACACCGCGGGAGGGCCGTAGCACGTGGACCAGTTTGGCAGTTGGCATGGGGGGTGCTGGCTGGTGGCACAAGGCCTCACTGCCTGCCCCCCTCAGCGCACGGGGTCCTTTGGAACAAACAAACATCCCAAAATAGCTCTGTGGTTGGAGTGAGGCTCAGGCTGGGCCGATGGGTGGGAAGGAGCCCCCAGCCCGCGCACGCCGGAGATAGCGCTGCCTGCGGAAAGGCACGTGGAAGTGAGATAAGGAGGAGCAGTGCCCCGCGAGAGGGAAAGGGCCCTGTGCCTGGTGGGGGGACACACGGGGTGGCTGCCCCAGCCACCCCTGTCCATCGTCCCGTGCGCGGGCGCTGCTCATGCCCCGGCGGGGGCAGCTCAGCAGGCTGGGGGAATTCTCCAGCCTGCTTGGTGTTGCAGGGATAAAGCAGAGCAGAGCCGTGTGGGCCCCCTCGGCAGGATGCACTGCACCCAGCAGGACCCTCCTGCTCTGCTAGCACAACAGGGTCTGTCCCCATTGGCGTGGGAAAGGGGACAGCCCTGAGGGCTGCAGACGTGTGTCACGCAGCCGGGCGCACCCTGTCTCACTGCTTCTCCATCACTGCTCCAGCACCCCCCATCTCTCTCATGGCTTCTGGCCTGGGCTCTGTCCTCAGCTGGAGGACACCTCAACAAGCTGTGTGCCACCACATGACCCTATTCCATGTGCTGAGTGTGTCCGTTCTCTGCTCTGGAGCCCCCTGCGCAGCCCTGCAACTGGCCAAGCCACTGTGAGACAAGGGTGAGCACAGAAGGACAGTCCCTCATGTCCTTGCCACTCTCCCAGTGACCCCTGCTCCCCCTTGCACTGAACCCAGGCCTTGATCTTCCCTCCCCGGTCCAGCATTGCCTTCCTCCTTGCTCACAGACCACAGCCTCCTCTCCCTAATTCTGCCTTCTGCCCTGCTCTTCCCTTTCCATGCCCTCCTGTCCCATCTGGCCCTGCTTGGCTGGGCACCCTGATCTCATGGCAGCACCAGGCCTTCCCTGGCCACCATGGGCTGTGTTTGGGGACAAGGGATGGCTCCAGTGGCCTGGGGATGCAGGAACTTCCTTCCCTCTGCTCAGGCTCCATCCCAAGGTGCTGGCAGGGACTTGCAAAGGTCCTGTGGAGGGAGCATCTCCTCACAGCACTGGCCATTTCCACCAGCAGAACTCACTGCACCGCATGGCAGGCCACGTGAGCGGGGCTTAGGTGTGATGCTGCTCACCAGCAGCAGCACCAGGGCAGAACGACCCTGCTGAGGCCATGAGCAGAGGCAGGATGAGCCCTGTCCTACCTGCTATCCCTGTCCCAGGCTGCTGTGGTGTCCAAGTCCAGCCCTCCGACCCAGCTTCCTACGGGTGCTCTGGATACTTTAGAATGTATTAAAAGGTCTAAGGGGGATAGGGTGGGTAAACCCCAGGAAGCGTGGACAGACCTAAATATAAAGGAGTTGTGAAGCTGCACTCCTAGGCAGCTTGTGAGCCAGGCTTGGGCCAGCTGACAGCAGACTTGAAGACATTCACGTAGACACGGAGGTCGCATCAGGCCAGTAGCTCTCAAAGCTGCTACGTGCTGCAAGGCCGGCACATGGGCAATGGGATTAGCCAGGCAGGTGCTTCTGTGTCACCCGTGGTCTAGAGAGGTGCCTTCAGATTTTAGCTTGAATTTTATTCAGCCCATGTCATTATAACACCAAGAGCTTGACTTGAGTGAAGAAAAAGCTCCTTTCTGCTACCTGCATGATGCAGGGAGCAGCGTCACCCCAAAGGAGCCTGTGGGGCTGGGAGCCAGGCATGAGTGCCCAGTGCTTTGTCCTTGGGGTGACGCTGCTCCCTGCGCCAGGCAGGTAGCATGAGCAGCAGGCCCCCTTCCTGCAGGCACTCCAGGGTGTCCCATGGGTGAGATGGGGGCTCCCACCCACCCCAAGGGCCCACCACTCTCTTTGCTCCAGCCCAGGGTCCACGAGCGCCCTGCAGACCCCCTTCACACTGACCTTGTGCCTGGCCACGTGTGCAGCTGCAGCCCTGCTCACATCCCTTACCACCTTTCTGTGGGATGCTAGGCTGTTCTCTGCACCTGCCCCCGCACCCTGCAGTGCAGGGGAGGATGAGGAGCCCTAGTCCTGCATGTTCCCCCCTGCCTGTTCCCCGTCCCATAGGGACAGCCCATCACATCCCTCTGGCTCATCCTTTGCAGAAGAAAGCGAGCCCCAGGACCTACCTTCAGATGTCACCAGCTCGGGGGGCGAAGCTGGGCTGAGGAGGCTGAGCAGGACCTCCATGAGCAGGGAGAGAAGCCACCCCGGGCACAGCCAGGTGGCCATCCCTGCCCCACACGAGCTTCCCCGGGGCGCAGGGCAGCGTGTGCCCCAGCCCCGGTCTTCCCAGCTCCCCGACTTGCTGCTGCAGCTCCTCAAGGCGATACCTTTAGCAGGGAAGAGTAAACTTTGCTGCTCAGGAAGCCTGGCTGAAGGGCTCCCTCCCCCCCCATCGCCAGCACTTCCCTGTGCTTGAAACCACCGGCTGCCGCCTCTCCGCCAGCCGCGGTGCCAAGAGAGACTGCTCCTATCAGATAGGCAGCACGTCCTGCCCTTGTGGCTACCGGGCACACTGGGAGGCTGGAATAGGAAGAAAAACAACCCCCGAGGAACGCGCGAGGCCCCTGTTCGGGTGATGTGCAGGCGGCCAAGGCCACCCCTGCTCCCCACGGCATGTGGGGCTGCAGCGTGAGGGAAGTCTGCATCGTCCCACTCTGCGCTGCCCTTCGCAAGGCCCTGACACTGCCGAGCTGGGTCTGCTCCCCACAGAGCAGTGGCACCATCCCTGTTGCTTTCCAGGAGGGGCCTACAGTCACTGGGAGCACTGGCAGGGCCCACACGGACACACTTGGTGCTGTAGCACCGGCAGGGATGGGGATGCCCCCGCCTTCATGCCGCACCACAGCTGCAGGAGACACAGTCATGTGGGGAGCACCCGGACAGAGCCCCAGAGCTCCTCTCTGCTCTCCTAGATCCAACCCTGCATCTGCTCCCAAGGCCGAAGGCAGCCTGCAGAAAGGGAGGGGAGTGGAGCCTCCACCTCAGACCTGTGATGCAGATGCCCTCAGCACACACACACATACCAGAGCTCTGGCTGAGGACGTGACACAAATGCAGGACCATAGCAGGGTCCCACAAAACCTCTCTGCTTTGTGCCCTCCTACCACCGCAGCAGGGTGCTGTGCAACTGGCACACAGGAGCGGGAGGCCAGAGGGGTGTCTGACCCTGCCGTTGGTGCAGGACCAATGCACCCCTGGTGCAGGCCTCCCAGGGAGGTGCCGTCAGGGGCTTGGGAACAACACCTCACCTGTACTTGCACTCTCTGTGCTGTGGGGACAGGCTCGCTGCCTTCTCCTGACCCTGCAGCAGCAGGCAACAGCCCCAACCAGCCCCACAGCACAGATAGGAGAGGAGAAACTGCCAACATCCATTTGTCATGCTCAAATTTTGTCAAACCAATCCCACTTCCTTCTCCATCCGGCTAATGGGCTCTGCAGTCAGAGAAGCAGGAGGTGCAACCTTCATGAGGCAGCCAGCGGTGCTGCTGCCCAGGCCAGTCCCCACAGGGGCTCAACAGGGCAAGGGGCCAGTGGCGCACGTCATGGGGCTGCACCTCAGGGCCCAGCTGAGCTACCATCTCACCAAGGACCTCCGAGATGGGGGAAAAGAGGATGCTGGCTAGTGGTTGCACTTGGCACCAGATTACACGGGAGGCTGGCATGGGAAACAACAGTATCAAAACATTTGAAACATGAGCTGGAGAGGAAAAAACATTATTTCCCAGAGAGACAAATAATGCTTAGGCATCTACTTTGGAATGGGATAACAGACTCTGGAGGAATGGACCTCACAGACTGTAGAGGATGCCTACATGACTAGCTTGACCACACACCTATGGCTTAGGGAGCTGAAGACCACGGCCAGTTGTTGTCCATACAACAGGCTGCACAAGCACGAGCTGAGGAGTGCCTGCCCAGGCAGGAGCTCCCCAGGGAGCCATCTAGCATCAGAGCAGATCCCAAGCTAAGCTTGAGACAAATGCGTTGTTCCAAAAAGACTCATGTTAGAGTGCGGTGTTCAAACAGGACAATCATCTAGGAAGATGCATGAAATGACCCTAGAGCATCAGCTAGCCCCCAGGTGAGAGGAGTCCAGGGACACAACCTACGCTATGGCACAAGGCTGGAGAACTGGGGTTGTTCCCCATAAAGAGGGGCCATCTGAAGGGAAGCTGCAGTAACAGTTTTCAGACATGTAAGAGACTGCTGCACAAAGGAAGGAAATAATTTGTTTTCCATATCCTTAGGGGACAGGACAAGTCACAGTCTTAAATTGCAGGTGAGGTGTTAAATTGCAGATGGGGTCTTAAATTGCAGCTGCAGGAAGGTGCAGCTTAAGAAAAATCTTTCCTGCTGTGTAACGAAACCCTGGGCTCGTGTGGGGACACTGGGGAGTCCCTGTTATGGGAGGACCCAGGAAACCGACAGGATCCCAATGAATCACCACCGCAGCAGACTGACAGGGCCCCAGCTGCCTTTCTACAAGGCTTTCAGTGACGCAGAGGTGGCAACCAGCTCTCCTTCCCCAGGTCCTGCGTGTCTGTTGAACTACGTTTATTGAAGAGAAAGCAGAACTGGCAGTCTCCAAAGGGTTGGGGTGGAGCTGGAGGCCACGCATGGCCAGCACCATCCTTTCTTGCACCCCTTTCTTGCCTGCCGCATCCCGCGCTGGCCGCAGTGTTTGCAGCTTCCCCAGGTCAGTGCTCAGGACACGGCACTGAGTCAGACCCTGAGCACACTGACAGCCTGCAGGGCAGTGAGCTGCCAGGTCTCTGCTTCCATCTCTTACCCGAGAGGGTGGGTATTTATGTCCTCCTGCATAGGCCAGCTCATACACACTGACAGAAGTCCACACTGCGGCAGCTGCCAGCTCCTAGGAGAGCCCTTCTCCTGCCATAATCCTGCAAACACCATGCAGGCCATGCATCTAGGGTCTTGTCCTTTGGGGACATTCCAGCATGTTCCCTGGCTGCGTGGTGCCACTGTCAGAGGCCAGTGGCATGCCAGCGTGGCCAGCACACCTTGAGTGGTAGCCGTGGGGCACGATGCAGTCCTGCTGCGTGGAAGGGCACTCTCAGGAAGGGTCAGCAGTGTTTGGGACTCTGACCTGGGGGACAGGCAGTCCCTCATTCCCACGGCATTATCCCGGCAGTTTGGGGGTCAGTGTTGTTCTTCTACAGGCGGCGTAGCTGGGCAGCCGGCTGCACGGTGCTGGGCGCAGCCTCATGCCTCCTCTGCGGTGGCATCAATCCCTGCGTAGGTGAAGTTCTCAAACAGGGCCATGTTCACGTAGGCCTGTGCAAGGAACCCAAGTCAGGAGCACGCTGTGCCTGTCCCTGTCCCCCTTCCCACCCTTAGTGGGGGGGACCCTGCTCACAAGTGCAGCACCCTGGGGCACAGGGCTGGGAGCCTGCGGGGCTGCCAGGGAGTCCCCCCGCCTTTAGGCCCTGTGCAAGGTGGGCATCTCCCTAGCACTCCTCAGGAAGCCAGCAGTGCTTCCACACACAGACCCCACACGCAGCCCAGGGCGATGCAGGCACCCTGCACCAAGCCGTGTCTCCAGACGCTCACCTTTCTGGCCTCCAGCATGCGGATGAGCTGCATGGAGATCTGTGAAAAGGGTGGGCGCTCGTAGGGGCGGTCACGCCAGCACTGCCGCATCAGCTCGTACCTGGGGGAAGACCCACATCAAGTCAGCAAAGGGGACAGCAAAGCTGCTCATGTGAGGTGAGGAGAAGCAGGGGCAAAGTGTGGAGCTGGGTGACTGGGACGTGGGACCCTGCTCTTCTCCTGGTAATGGTGCACAGGTTGAGCAGCCAGTGAGAGCCCACTTGAGTAGCAAGCCCAAGATGACAGGGACACTGCTGTTGAGCTAAACCGCAGCTCGCAAGGACTGGCCCCGCTGAGCACAACAGCCCTGCGCTCAGGACAGCCCTGGGCCAGGGCTATCTGCCCACTTACACTTCGTCATCACAGTTGCGTGGCTTCTCCATGCGGTAACCCTGAGGGAGCTTCTCGTAGAGCTCGGCACAGGTCATCCCACAGTATGGTGTCCCCCCTGTGGGCCAGAGACATAGATGTGGCTGTGATGGGGACAGTTGCCTCATCCCCCACTGCAAAGCCCTGGGTAGCATGTTGTGCCTGTGCCCCCAGCCACCACTCCGCAGGGTCCTGGGGAGCCCTCCAAGGCTGCAGAAGGGCTCTGCCATGCCTTCCGGGGCCCAGGTGGGCACAGGGGACTAAGAAGAGCCTTACCCAAGCTGACAATCTCCCATAGCAGGACACCAAATGACCATCTGAAATAGAAGGAGACCAGGTTGTGACACGGAACTGCTGTCCCACTCACGGAACTGTGCCCCACTCTTGGGCACCAGCATGAAGCTGGAGGGGTTTGTGCTGTCACTGCAACAGGGCTAGGGCTGAGCTGCAGGCAGGAGGCAGCCAGACCTTGGGCAGGGCTGCAGCAGCATTGCCTTCTGCCCTTGCCAACACCTAGTGCAAGAGCAGCACTGTGCCAGCTGCCCTGGGGGCACAGGGAGGGATGGAGGTGGGCATTCTTGTCCCTCCAACCCGTATGTTGGTGCCTGCAGGACTTACACATCACTCTTGGTGGTATACACACTGTAGTTCAGTGACTCAATGGCCATCCAGCGAACGGGCAAGCGACCCTGTGGAAACAGATGGTGATCATCAGCGTGGGGACATGCCCTACACTTCAGAGATCTCTGCTAAAGACCAAGCAGCAGAAAAGTCTCCTCTCAGTCTTGAGGGAGACAAGAGCGAAGGACAAGCTGAGCCAGGATCCATCCCCTGAACCTCAGCTCCAGACTGCTAGTCCCAGTATGGTGGGTGTTCCCGCTCCAGGCCGCATGGAGACTCCTAGCTCCTGCCTCACCATTGTCTTCTTCACGTAGACCTCTTCCCCTCTGGAGAGCCCGAAGTCAGCAATCTTGGAGGCCAGGTTTTCTCCCACCAAGATATTTCTGGCTGCCAGGTCCCTGTGAATGAACTGAAAGAGGCCATAAGTGAGCTACGCCAGCTTGCAAAAGTTACAGTGCTCTGAAGATATGGATGGACAAAGTTTTCTGGAATGTTTCTGCCCTCTCTGGACCTGCCAGGCTCCTGCTCCCAGCAAATCCTCATCAGCTTCCTGAAACTCCAGGGAGCCTTGTCCTCTCCCCTGAGTGAGTACGCGACAAGCAGTGGAGATGAGAGATGAGCCATGAAACCAAGACAGGACAGACCAATGATCAAGAGCCAAATTCTCCATCCTGCATCCCAGGGGTTCAGTGTTCCATACAGGAGACACCAGGCCCATGGTGAAAGGACTCTCTGGGCTCTGGGAGGGTTTGTGAGAGAGGAGAGCAGAAGCAGAAGCCTGGCATGTCCAGATCCTCACGCATGTTCACAGAGAGGCCGGGGCTTGGTCCCTGGGCTGTGAGCAATGCAGGCCCTTGCCTGGAGGAGTTGGGCACATACCTGCTTCTCACTCAGGTACTGCATTCCCTTGGCCACATCTGAGGCAAACTGGAGGAGCTGCTGGGAGGTGAGGGTGGATGCAGTCCCATGCTCCTTGGCAAAGGCTGGGTCCGTCTCCAGGACTCGGCTTTTGCGGAGGAAGTCGAGGAGGTTTCCGTAGGGGGCATACTCAATAGCGATGTACAGGTAGCCTGCAGCAGGAAGGAGGCAGAGATTATCAGATGCTGTAAAGGAAAGAGGAAAGCTCAGCTGGGCAGGGGACAATGTAGGATCAGAGACACTGGTCCAGCCAAGAGAAGGGGGCTGCCCTCACCCTTGTTCTCGCAGGCACCCAGCAAGTTGATGATGTTGGGGTGATGGCCCAGTTTGCACAGCACCTCCAGCTCCCCAGCAAAGTCCCGATGGTCGTTCTCCGAAGCAAACTCTGCAAGCAAAGCAGGAACAGACTCTTCAGTCCTACGCTAAGGGCCTTTCTGCTGCTCTCTTGTGTCCCAGCTCTTGCCTCCTCTTCAGTCAGGAGTGGTGCCCTGGATGCAGTCTTACATGGACTGAGCTTGCAGACAGAGAGAAGCTGCCTCTCCCCTGCCCCATCCTGTCATGTGCTTCTTCCCCTGCTCAGTATCAGCCCACCTCTGAGCAGACTGAACTACGCTAATCTGGCCAGAAATTCACCCACAGAAGAAGTGGGTATTTTTGGTTGGCTTGGTAAGTTGACTTCCCTTCCTGTGCACTGGAAGGGCTGCCAGGGCAGTGCCTAGGAAGGTCTGGCCCAGCAGCAGGAGCCCTGACAGCCACCCCTCACAGGGTCAGGTCAGGTGAGTTCCAGTTAACACCCCAGGGATATGAAGTGAAAGGCTGGCACTGACCCAACGTTTCCTCCGAGACTCAATGGCGACCACAAGTTTACAGGCTTCTCAAAATGCACCATGTAGGTATTATTCAGGGTTGCTAGAGGCTAATAATAAAGACTGAAGCTCTGCCAGCTCTGCTGTGAGCAGTGCTTCTGAACAAAGCCAGGAAAGGTATGGAGGGGTTGACACAGATACCCCCCATTTCAGCTATTCCTATTTGGAGCCCTGACCAGAGGTTGGAAGTCTGGCTTGGTGCAGACAGGACTTCTACTACTTCTCCATGTCTTCTTTAGTCATTCTTAAGATCAAGGCCTGGACATGACAGGACTCACCCTTCAGCATCTTGATGGCTGCGTTCATTTTCAGGCCATCCTTTTTGATCATAGCCCTGATGACCTGACCAAAGTTCCCCTCCCCGATCATATCTTCAAACTTGATATCCTCCCACTCCAAGATGGGGTAGCTGAGGGGCTCAGGCTGTGGCTTGGGCCGGCGTGTCAAGGTGAGGGTCCCCGAGTTAAACTGCAAGATGGTCTCTTCCCCCTGGAAAACACAAGTGGGTGAGGTTAGAGGCACCAGGCACCTCTCTGCCCTTGCGGCAGGCCCAGCAGGGCAGAAGTCACGGGCAAGGACAGGCTCCGCACCCTCTCTGCGTGGAAGTGAGGCCTGGTGGCATCCGGACTGGAGGCTACAGAGCGTGACCTGGATCGGGCTGGGACGTGGGGAGCTGGGGACACACTCCTGGTGGGGCAGGCGGCACTCACCGAGCCAGACTGGTAGGTAAAGGTGCGGCGCCGGTGGAAAAAGTTCTTCTTGACGAGGAAAAGTGCAAGGAGGGCAAAGAGGATGGTGAGGCAGGTGACGGACACAGAGCCGATGATGGCCAAGAGCAGCTGTTGGTCTACGCCCGACTGATCGGTGCTCTGGCTGCCCAGGCTGGGCGGTGCGCTCAGCACTCCTGCCAAAAGAAAGGGTCAAGGCCCACAGCTGAGCACCACAGATGAACTGGCCCAGCAGATAGACCTGTAGAGATAGGCCAAGCAGCTGCTGCCTAACGGGGCTTCAGAGACCTCACTGCCCTGCCCCAGCACCCCAGGGTGCTCCTCCCAGGCACCCACATAAGCACCAACCACAGATGCACCCAAAGGGCAGGCTGGCATGGAGGTGAAGGCATTACTGCCCAGGATCCTGCTGACAAAGCCATTGGATTCTGAACTTCCTCTAGAGCTGTGCTGTCCCCCTGCTCTTTTACTAGCTCTGCACTGCTCCTTTAGCCCTTTGCAATCTGTGTCACCCTCTGGCCAAGGCATAGCTACTCCATGGGTGCTGTGCTGTCACCATGTCTCCCTTGTCCTACTCAGGAGCAGGATTTCTGAAGACACCCGCAAGTGTTTAATGCTCAGGCTGTTGCTTCAGAGCAGCTCTCTGAGATTGCCACGAGCACTCTGCTCTCCCTTTGGCAGCCCAGGCACTGAGCTGGAGCTCCGGGAGAGCCCCGTTGCCCACACTGCCTGCAGGGAGGCAGCCAGCGGGCACAGCTGTGTCTGGGGGACCCAGGTGGTGCAGGGATCGCACAGGGAGGAGCACCAGCCAAGCACCAGGCGGCCAGGCTGGGGCAGGAAGGCCCGGACCCTGTCCAGATGTGTGCCCTGCTGGGATGCCTCACTCACCGTCCCCCAGGGTCTTAGCTTTCACAGGCTGGCTCCACTCTCCTGGCACGTGGGAGTTGGCCCGGACACGGAACTGGTAGTTCGTGCTGGCATTGAGGCCCCCGATGGTCTTGGTCGTCTCCGCGCCGCTGTCTGTGTCAATCCACTGGGGTTCACTGGTGCCCCCCACCTGCTGCAGCTCCACTATGTACTTGGTGATGCCCCCATTGGGGTACTCGGGGACCTGCCAGGAGAGCCTGACTGCTGTGTCAGACAGGGACTCTGCGGAAAGCGACCGTGGGGACGAGGGGCCTGGGACAAGGAGAGGAGAGAGCGTCAGCCCCCAGCCAGGAGGTCTGGGGGCTCTGGGCTCCCAGCACTTGGTACACGGGTCAGTGAAGGGAAAGCCAAACCCCTCCAGTCACTGCAGACAATGACAGACAGACAGACAAAGGCACCTCAGGTCTGAATGCAGCTCCAGGGACCCCAGTCCATGCTTGAATGAGGCAGCACAAGGCAGACAGGCCCTGCTGCTGGGAGCTGCTCTCAGAAACTTCTGTAGGAGCTGAGTTTAAGGCAACCCACATATCAGAGGCAGTGCTCACCACTCCTTGAGTGGACAGAGCCACCAGCTCCTTCCTGAAGCAGCTCTGCTGTAAACTGAGAGGACTTCTGGTCTATGCCCTGGCTACCACACACAACATAGATCACTGTCCTCTTTCTAACAACTCTGCATAGGCTGGAAGATTGCTTTCAAGCCACATTTCAGTCTCGTGTTCCCTGGTCTACTCCCCAGGAAACATGAGGCACCCATGTGGGTCAGACTATCTTGCACCAGCAGTGGCCAGAAATGGGTGAGTTTGTGACAGTGTAAAAGTGGGCTGGGACTTCACCTCCAAACGCATCCCCAGCCTCAAGGACTCTAAGGCCACATGTCTTTGCATTTAGTAGCTCTTGTGAGATTTTTCTTTCTTCAGCTCTTCCTCACACAGTGTATAGTTCACATCGACTCCTCTGACCCTTCTCCAGCCTGCCCATATGCTGGTTAAACCATCTCCCCCCGCCCCAAATTACACAAAGCTCTTACAGCATGCATGGAAAATTACATCTTTCAAGCCTTATATGCAACAGTCCTCCTAATGTGTACCAGAGCAAGATATGTTTTACTGAAGTCACAAGTCTCGTATACTGCTTCCCTCTTATCTACCGGGCCAGTTACCCTGTCAAAAAGGCAAGTCAGACTGACTGGACATGATTTGTTCTTCCCTAGCCCACAGCGACTATGTTGGACCT